CTTTCAGATAAAGGACACATAAGAGACAGCGGATGCTAATGCATGTTATAGCTCATGATAGGCGTTACATTTACCCAAACAGCAACCCATTTTGAAGCGTTTTATATTCTGAGTCCTTCGGCTGAATACCAATAGATTTAGCTTTGACAACCCGACATAAATTAACATGAATCAGTCCAGCATCTGTTTTAGCATGCTCTGTTTTTTTAATGAGTGTGGGCAGGGAATTCAAAAATAGAAACAGCTCACTGAATGTAGTGTGTGTGTGTGCGTGCGTGCGTGTGTGTGTGTGTGTGTGTGTGTGTGTGTGTGTGTGTGTGTGTGTGTGTGTGTGTGTGTGTGTGTGTGTGTGTGTGTGTGTGTGTGTGTGTGTGTGTGTGTGTGTGTGTGTGTGTGTGTGTGTGTGAGCTAGGTGCTTCTGTTTTGGCAATCCCAACTAAACAGGTCACGTATAAAGAGGGTTATGCAGTATTCTTGTTATGTAATTGACTATTTATGTACTTCAAAATGTCTGTTTTGAATCAAGACAGTTTTTGTATACTCAACTGTAAGTTTTTTTCCCATTTAAATGTTCACCTCGCCTGAACCTTTTGTGTATATATTCTTTAAATAAACCTACACAAGTATGTCATGTTACTTGATAATTGTGCTAAATTAGCCTGATAATGAGTGAATGGCCGTATTGTTTCGACAATGAGGAGCCTGAGCACTTCAATTTTGATCACTGTACATGAAATCAAACCTATAAGTGTCTCTAAGCTATTGCATGGAACATCTTAAGACGTTTTCATTTGCACAGACATCCGGCAGTGAACGGTCACTCTAACATACCAGATTTTTAGTCATGCTAGTGGCCACTGGTTGATTTAGTCCACCACTTTTTTCCAGATTGAACAATCTATACAAATATGACTGGATTGTCATACATTTAAACAGACATGTAGGTTCTTCAGAAGATGACAACTGACTACCATGAGACCTTCTAGTGCAGGGGTTCTCAAAGTGCGGCCCGCGGGCCAATGGCGGCCCTCAGAAATGTTTCTGGCGGCCCGCGATAGTTAATGTGACACGCTGAAATGCATGTGTTATATTTTAATCCTCCATCGTTGTATCTAGTAAGAATTAGAATGAGTAGCTTTCCAGCGGTATCTCCTGTGAGACTGTAACCAGGGTACAGCAGCCAATATGGCCGCTCAAAGCAGCTTGACTTTACACTGTGTGGGATTGGTGGATTTGTGTGTCCGTCAAGGAAATCTCGGCCGGCAGCCATCATGGTCTGAAATGACCCATGGACATCGAGAAATCACTAAGGGCCAAGTAAAAAAAACATAAACCACGTGTCTCCCATCACTTTACCTCTTTGAGGAGAGAGAGAGAGACAGATAAAATGGCTAAAAAAAACTTTACAGTTGCCGACTTCGCTAGAGATTTGTTTCGCTAGCAGCAGTGAAGATAGAGCCTCAGAACCTGAAGTCTTCGACTCTTCTGAAGAAGAAGAATACAAAGACAACAACAAGGATCCATTTGGACTTGGGTAAGTGTAAATATTACAGTAATAGTGTACTGGCAATGTGTGGGGAATACCGCGAAAATTAACAATAGGTTTATTGATATATATTTTTTATCGATAGTCATGAACTTTTTATTGGGACAAAATAGACTCTCCATTAGCAAACGTTTACTCTGTGTTAACGTTATTTTGGTGTGTAAAAGTGAGATTACATGTGTAGAGGATTAAATTAATCATTTATTCGTCCCACAACGGAGACATTTACAGTGACATGTTTTTGCCATCGATTATTTTATCATACTGTTCTGTACAGATGAGACTTTGTCATAGATTTATTTATATGTGTGCCTGTTATTATTTTACCGTCCTGTACAGATGAGACTTTGTAATCAGATGTAGCCTATGTATATGTGTGTCTGTGATTTTATACTGAATGTAAAGTAACTGGAAATACCTGTGTGTGTGTGTGTGTGTGTGTGTGTGTGTGTGTGTGTGTGTGTGTGTGTGTGTGTGTGTGTGTGTGTGTTAGGGTTGCCAACTTCCAGAAATGGAAAAACGCGAGCGCGCGAAGATTTTCGGGTTTCTGGCGGATTTAGTTACTTTTTTTTGTTACTTTATTTCGGTGTTAGGGTTATGTTATTTAATTCTTTTGGGGGAGCCAGCCCCCTAGGGTTCGAGGGGTCAAACCCCCCAAAACCCTCAAAATGCATAGAAAACTATGCATACCTATAACACAATACAAACACAATGGTCTTACAGCTGCATTAGGCTACTACATCACATTGTACATCAGCATGTTAAAATCGGATAGGTGGACACTAGGGACATCTGGGCACCTCGATGTACAATTGGCTATTTTGTCCAAAATGTTAAAAAAATAAATATTTAAAAATGGTATTAAGTAATGCAAAGTATACATGATGTGAACATGCACGGTACATCATTATTAGACTTAATGTTATCCTTCAACCAACCATTTCCCCAGCATTTTCCCATCAATCAGCTGACTGACTCTCTCTCACACACACACACACACACACATACACACACACACACACACACACACACACACACACACACACACACACACACACGCAGAAGACCCGAGACAGATCTCCACTCACAGGCTTTACCCAACTGTGTTTTTCTTCCACTGTTTGTTGTAAGACACAAGTCTTTTCTTTTTAGAAGGGCCAGGGCCCAGAACCACATCCTCTCTCTCTTCTCCTCTTTCATTATCACCTCCTCCACCGGCAGCGCTCATTTTCCCACACGACCACACAAACAGTGATGCCGCGCCCGCGGCCCACCGGAGAAAATCTCACACACACACGTGCGAGCATTGTGCCTGCCCTGTCAACTGAGCGGTCCTAGTGCCCTTCGGATACAGCACACAAACACACAGGCACGCAGCCAGACACACTGCATTGCGCGCAAACAGAAACATATATTTTATTTTTCCCTTTACACGGGAGTCCGGGACAAACAAAGTCCCGTACGGGACACGCCCCTTTTGGCTCAAATACGGGACGTCCCGGCTAATACGGGATGGTTGGCAACCCTAGTGTGTGTGTGTGCGTGTGTGTGTGTGTGTGTGTGTGTGTGTGTGTGTGTGTGTGTGTGTGTGTGTGTGTGTGTGTGTGTGTGTGTGTGTGTGTGTGTGTGTGTGTGTGTGTGTGTGTGTGTGTGAGAGAGAGAGAGAGAGATCGAGAGAGACTCCTTCTGCAACCTCCCAAACTGTATTTGTATGTGTGCATTGTTATTTGTGCTTGAGCAACATTTTACTTGAACTTTATTTCAATGAAATTAGTTGTAATTATTGTCCTACACAGGCGGCGTTTATCCAGCAGCCACAACATCCATCTGTGCCGGCCCCCAGGTCAAGATCTACTGTGGCTCAAGGGCTCCACCACCTTCAACCAGCAGACCAGCATCACGACAGCTGCCTCCACCTCCATCTGCGGCTGCCACCAGGTCAAGATACACCTCAGCACAAAGGCTCCACCACAGCCATCACCTTCAACCCAGCCAGCAAGGAGGTCTCGTGGAGGTCTCGTATAGCACTTGTACACCCCACCTACACAGCAGCCCATGCACCATCACCCCCATCTTCACAGCAGCCAGACCCACTGTCTTGGAAGACAGACAAAGACCTTGACACTGTCTTGACATTTATAAGGAATAGTTGGTTGAAAGTTCTGATGTTCAATATTGTAAATAGTTAGATTTTCCAGTTTCTTATATTTATATAAATAGTTGGTTGAAAAAAACATATTTATAATAAATTGTTGGTTGAAAAAAAGGTTGAATGCTCAATTTGTATTTGTACACATCACATGAACCTTAGTATGTAATATGAAGTCAATATTCAGTCCTGATGTATCTCAGTCCCTGATGTGGTGAAAGTAGAGTGATAAACACCTATTTTACTCAAAATTTGAATTTAATGTTTTTCATTTTAGACATGAATAACACATTTATATACAGTGTAATTCAAATATTGCACTGCTTTTATGATCCTAGGACTTTGGTAACCAAATCTAAAACACCAAAACAATTCGATCACATGAGTAAATTTGTGTTTTCACAAGAGTTTTGAAGATTTTCCAAAAATCGGATTTCATATTTTAAGCTTTTGAGCTACTTATCTCATCAAACAGTGCTCTAAGGTGAGCAATATGCATATATAGCAAGACCAGAGATTGTCCTGAACATTTGTTACATGTTAGAAGAAATACATTTAAAAGGTGATTTAAGAAAACATCTAAAAATCGAGAAAATACCCTTAGACTCCAGAGGGTTAAGAATGGTAAAACTGCGCCCCCTGGGTTGTCATTCCTAAATTATGAATGACAGCTTGTGGAAAGTTTGCTAGACTAGTGGTTGCATGGCAACTAGGCATCTCGCAAGTTGCGGTAATTGGTTAGTTCAATAAAGAAAGGATTTGTTTTGGAATTATTTTGTGTTCCGTTTTTTCTTGGGCGGCCCTCAATCCAATATTGGGTACCTAAATGGGCCCTCACTCATCAAAACGTTGAGAACCCCTGTTCTAGTGGAATGTCTTGACAACTATAAGATGATAAGCACAAAAACGTTATTATACGTTCGTAGTCCCCAGAGGATGAATCCTAATGACTTTGTTGATAAAAGATATTGTCCTCTGGAACTACAGGGTTTACATTTGTGTGACATTACTAAGTGTCCATCAGCCTGAATTGTTGTCTTAGCTAATTGAAGCATGCTGACATGCTAAACTAAGATAGTGGACATGGTTAACATTATACCTGCTAAAGCATGTTAGCATTGTCATTTTAAGAATGTTGGTATGAAGCATTTAGCTCAAAGCACACCACTGTTCAGCCGTCCAAAGATGCTAGCATGGTTGTATCTAGATGATTTCATGAAGATGATCTTTACTTAAGAATAGTTGCTTTGTTGTTACAGTGTTTCTAAGGGAATGTATTGTACTGATACACAAGTTGGCCCGTACCTCTATGAGTGGGTGCCAGTGTGCAATGGGTTTCCGTGGGTATGACAGCATCTCACTCCAGTGGTCTCGCCCCAGGCTCTCTGCCTCATTGCCCACCCTGCATACTCCGATCACTTCATTGTGTCCAACCCTGCGAAACAGAAAAGAAGAAGACATGGAAACAATCGTTGCATCAATAAATCCTTCTAGATAATACACTCAGCTGGAGGGTGCATGTTGAAGGCCTGTGCTCTAGACTTCAACAGCAATTGTATTTCTTGCGTAGACTCCGGGCTTACGGAGTCGAGCAGAAGTTCATGTTACTGTTTTATCATGCAGTGTTGGAGAGCATCATAAGATATGGTATCACTGCCTGGTATGGTAACTTGACAGTGCAGTCAAAGTCACAGATCGCTCGCCTGTTACAGACTGCTTTGAAAATTATGGGGGTCGAAAAACATCCATCTCTCCAAAACATATATGAGCAGTCCATTATTAGAAAGGCAAACAAAATTGTGTCTGATCCCACCCACATACTCCACCCAGAATTCCAGCTCCTTCCGTCTGGTAGAAGATTAAGGGTTCCCAAGAGCAGGCTGAACCGCTATAAGCACTCATTCCTCCATGTCCATTAAGCTTCTTAACAATAACATGTGATGTAATATACTTTTAAATGTTGGCCATGAGGGTTGTGCATTAGGTCGCCATTGTCAGTATGTGCGTCAGTATATGTGTATGTATTTTTATGTTTGCATACGTACATGTATGCGGAACTGCAGAATGGAGTCCAGAACAAATGTCCTTACAGGGACAATAAAGTATATCGTATTGTATTGTATGTGTGCTGTATATCAAACTAATATGTAGGTACAATACGTTTTGGTGCTGCAAATATGTATAATTATTCTACAACTTCTGTTCATAAAATAGTTTTAAAACAGTGTTTTTATTTCAATTTGTTTGAAAAGCCGCTATGTAGCTACATAGCCACATAGCCACATGCTCAAAATGTCAAATGCCCAGATAGTAGGAAACAATAATATGAATGCCCAAAGCCTTTTGGTAAGAAAAGCTAATGGCGCTTTCAGGATCTCAAGTAACTTTTTGGGAGGAATCCCAAACATGAACATCGGCACAATACAATTGAGTTTGCTCTGCCCAGCAATTGGGAATGAAGCATACAGTATAACATCAAATTGCAAAGAACATGGAAAGGAAGTTGTTGCCCAACCATTTTATTAAACCTTAAATGGCTATGTACCTAGGTTACTTACTAACCGATCATAGTCCATGACAGCTATGAGCAGGCTGATCTGGTCGATGTTCTCAGGAGGAACATCAAACACAATGGCTTCATTATACACCGGGTTCAGAGTGTTGCGCTTGGTTGACGTCTTCCTCTTCTTTAGCCTCCGGCCTTCACACATCAAGGAGACTTTCACATATGGATCTGGGGAAAAGTAACACGCCAAGGTCAATAAAGATGCCAGAAAGTCTTGACACCTAATGCGCAAATTATTATGAATCCACCAAAAATAATAAAGAACTAGAATAACACATGTGTATATTTGTTTAAGTGGTAACATTGCTGTGTCAGTCAGCACCCACCTGAAGCTCCAGTGATGTCCATGGCTTTGAGATTTCTGGCTTTGATCATGGTGATAGTGAGCCTGCCCGCCGTGGGGAGATAGCACAATGAGAACATCAGTTCTCCTAGGTCCACATTGTCCTGTAAAGAAATATATTACATTTATATATTAGTACTGCTAATCCAAAAAAACACAAATAATTATGCCTATTCTTTTATGGTGGTCCAAGTGGGAAACGGGGCTTGAGGGAATTTCATAGTTGAAGCTGCCAACAATTTCAGTTTTGTTATTTTGCCTTAAATATGTCTTCTGTGTCTCAATTTGGATACTTCCCCTAGTACACACTATGTCATGTACTGTGAACACATGCGCAGTGTGTGAATTTTGACCGTGCAGTTGTTGCACACGGCTGCCCTAACTGGAAGTGTAGATCGCCGATGATAGCTAACTAGCTAGCTAGCAAATTCACGGTAAACCAAATAATTTCAGACCGCTAAATAAACCCCATAAAATTAACAGTGGCTTCTTTTTGACACCAGTAGAGTGGTTTGTTACTTAAATAGTGAACAAAAAAACACATGTCAAACTTTTATTTGTGTTAATGTTACGTAGCCAAGATGGCGTTTTATGTGAGTGTGAGAAGTGTCTACAATTGTGTTTAGTTTTTTACCGTTACGAGTGCACCATCCGGGTACTCGTGTTTTATTTTGCAATACTTCACATTAGGACACAATACTGCACTCAAAACAGCATATGTAATTACAGAACTAGCAATATTTTGACACAGCAGAAGAAATCCCTTGTGATATCGCAAGAATCAAGCTGCCATGCCATGTAAGGGATTTGCATATCCTGCCACAGTCTCAGCTGATGCCAAATGCAGACAGTCATTATTAGAATCAACCCACTTAGCTTTCAACGTTAGCAATGAGTTTAAGATTTTGGATTTAATGTCAAGCTTGACAATAACTTATTTGGTAAGAGATTAAGGTTAAGCATTTTAATCAAAGGCAAAAAAAGCCCTGGAAATCAATGTGTAGATTCAACAGATGGCACATTATAATGTTACACAATTATATGGATCATGCCTGCAACACCTCCAGTAGAAAAACACATCTGCAACATTCAGTAACAGCATGACTCATCATTAATCTGCATGTCTCATATTACAAGTATGTCAAGATTTAAGCATTGAAATGATGTGCCAGCTGGACTTGAAACGTTATGCCCCTTGAAATTAGTATCTGGTTAAACTTGTGAAATATGCCATCAGGTAAAACTACTCCTGTGTGCCTGTGAGAATATCCCTGCCTTCATAACGTATCCACAGTCATGCATATGCCAAGCTCATCTCCCAATTAACACATCTGAAAATAACGTGTGATGGTGTGAGAGTGATGGGTGCATTTTCTCACAAAGGGATACTCTGGTTTCTAGTTGTATGCTCTCCCACACATTTGGTTGACACAAGCTCCCTTTTAAAAATAGCGATGAATAGGAAGTTAAAAGAGACAACAAAAATTTGACTTGACTTGACATTTTAATTACTCAATTACTCCTACTCTACTATTACATGTATAGTTGCCAAGCAGGTTAACACAACTATCCGAGGTTTCTTAAAGCATTCTGTCCAATCCGTGATTAAACACAGGATGTTAATGATTATGTACTTAACCTTAAAAGCCACTGATTAGATAGAAAGCCTATGTCAGACGTTCTGGATATAGTGTAAAATCAATATATTACATAGACATCAATATGTGCTTGGTATGAAGCTCAGTGCAGGTTCAATCAGGAACCCTTATCATGGTTGCACTCTTTTAGGCCCCATTTACACGGGAACGTAAACGAACCGAATTCAATATAAAAAAAGTCTTCCGTTCACACGGATACAGCTCAATAAACATGTCCCTACACGCGAGACCGCTCGACCCGCTGGAGACGCTGTAGTACATATGCCGGGCCTGTAAGTGGCCACAAATTCTCCGTGGTGGATTTAGCAACATGTAGCCTAGTTCATGTGGTTCTCCATGTCCACTTGTTGCTGATGGTTGTGGTAGAGGAGCTGTATATTTTGCACTAACATCTGTAACATGGTCAGTAGCAGTAGCAGTAGCTACTGACCATGCTACAGCAGTGAGCAGCAGAGGTGGGGAGAGGCGGGGCTATGGCTTCATCTTTAACAGGAAAATTATCTTACAGTTTTTTTTTTTACCCCTCTGCCCAACCTGCTGCCTGTGGGAGCAGATGGGCCGCCAGGCTCTCATCAAGGGGGGGCGCGCCGGCACACGCTGTGTCCGTGCAGCCCTGCACACTGAGGATTCCCGCCATACCAGCCACTGGAGCCCTCGTCTTCAGTGGGTGCCGCTACGTCGCCTCCACACACTGCCAGATATCTGGCAACGGGTGCGAAACGAAGGCCGGCTGTGCCGGCTGACCCGGGCCATAGAACCCCTGACGGAGGCGGCTCACCGGCTTCGGTGGTAGTGGTGGGGGAGCGGTAGTCCTACACGCTCCGCCGCCATGGCCATCACCAACAGGAAATCCTGATGGGAAATCCTGACGGGAAATCCTGAAGGGCAGACCTGCGTGGTGGACCATCATGGACGCTGGACCCAGAAGCGCCCGACATGAGAAGTCCTCGTCTTCTTCCTTCTCGACAAACGGGGCCGCCTGACCCGCCGGAATGGCGAATATGAACAGCACCTCCCCGGCCACCTCCTGGTCCTCCATCTCCACCACATCGAGTTCCTCCTTGTCCTGCACCTCGTCCGGCGAGACATAGTGTGCCTGGAAGTGCTCCAGACCATGCTGGCGTCTGAGCCGCGGGAGCGAAAGGCAGGCATTGCAGGACGGGGAATGTTTTACGCCATCCACAGCGTGGTCAGGCCCCAAACACTCTAAACAAAGGTGGTGGGGAACAGCGCCCGTAATTAAGCCAGGAAATGTAGGGCAAGGCCGGCGCTCAAGGAGTGGTGAATCCATTATTTTTCTTATTCTTTCCTCTTCTCACGTTTAGCATTTCAGTTAGTTGTCCTGCTCGCTAAAGAGAAAAAGGATGACAGTCGGGAGGCGTAGCCGCCTTATATACTGTGGGCCTGGGCGCGCATTCAGGTAGGCTCGCCCCGATTGGCCGGCTACGTGTATGCAACTCAGTATGTGAATGCTCGCATAGCATGGTAGAGAGTAGTACCCATAGAGTCCAGTAGAGGGCGGAGCCTGTGTAAGATATAACAAGTGGGTTTTCAATCTGCAAAGGATGTGTGTACTTTCTGCTGTACTACATACGAAGGCAAGCACACACACATTTTCTATTAAAATGTTGTTGCTCTGGGGTCCCCTTGCTGAAAATTGCTGAAAATCAAATTGCACAAAATGTGTTGATTCATTACAGATGTCAGCATCTACACACCTGCAAGCACAGAAACAAACCTACAGCATGAACCCAAGCAGAGTCCATGATGATGACGAATTGATGAATCATACGAGTTACTGAGGCACAATCCACCTCTGACAATGCACGATTATTGTAACTGCCTTGGGCGTTAATGATGTACAGCTTATCATGATTCCAAGCTTTAACACACAGGCCTTTGGGCAATTACGGGACATTGACATAAAAATGTGTGGAAAACCCTTCATCTCTCAACAGATAACATTATATCATCCTCCCATCACACACTCTCATGCAGCACACTTAAGTTTTCAGACCATAGAGTGCTACTCACTACTCATCTGAGCACTTACATCAAGCCTGTGGTCAGGAGGGTGGTCACTTGTGAATGAAATTAGAAAGGTGCTCTAAAGCGCTCCAATAAAGCGTATAGAGAGTGTGGAGAGTCCATCTTCTCCAATTGTAATACTATCACCTTCACTTTCACTCCCTCAGGAGACCAAGGCTTTGTCTACAGCCTCTGTGTCTTTAATAATCACAGGCTCAGTCCAAATCAATCTTTTTGCTCCTCTTTCTTATTTTCTTATTATGCCTTTTTCTGAGCTTACTGAAATAGTTTTTGCTTTAACAAGTGTCACTATGAAATTACGTAATACCTTTAACACATTATTAGACCATGGCAGGCACTTTGAAACACTGTCTTTTCCCATAAATACTGATGATTACTCTCATAAACGCTGACTAGTCTTATGCCATAAAGTAATAATAAAAGAAAGAGCCAAGGCCCCAGGAGACAAGATATATATGTTGTATTTGTATTATCATACTGAAATCTTATACTCACAGCCTCATTTAAAAGTATGCAGTGTACAAAGAGGTCTATGTTGTGGAAAAAACTGGAACAAGTAAGTAATAATGTGTTTATTAAGTTTGAATAACAAAATAATTGAATCTGTCATGCCTACATTTTGTCCTCATATTGTAGTACAGTTTGTTCAGCTCACTTAGACACTGGAGATCCCGTTACACAGGGGTTAATGGACAGCACAATTCCTCTGCCTGGCTGAACATGGGGGAAGTAAATAAATCACAGCCCATGCTCAACTCTAGCTGTATAGATGGATGTACCCTGGCAGAATCAGGTTAGGCTAAAGGACTCTACATAACTCTCAGTAAAGAATAGTAAGACATTACACAACTAAATGGGTAGCTGGTTTGAAGTATATACAGTACAATCATACAACTGTACAACATTTAAAAAGGCCCTCTCTAGAGTCAGCACCTGATTTGTCCATGCTGAGCTACTGTAGAAACCTGGTGATGCAACATGACAGGCTCTGTGAAGTACATATGAAAAAAAAAAACAACATTTTAAGATTCAAACTCATTTATCTTTTCGTAAGGCCAGCCACACCAAATGTGAAACATTTGGAATTTCTCCAAATTTGAGATTCTGTTAAAAAAAGACTTTTGCTAATGCAACACATATTCTTCAGATGTCAATGACACAATAATTGTATGTGTATATAAATATTAGGGCCGGGACTTTAACGCGTTAATTAAGATTAATTAATTACACAAAAATTAACGCGTTAAAAAAATTAACGCATTTTAATCGCACTTATTTTTGCACCGCGGAACGTTTCTCACTGGATGAGTTTCAGGCGTACCGATTATACTGGAGCACCAACTAACGCTCATGACTTCAGACAACAACAAACCACGGTGAACAACAGTGGGAAATGT